AGCAAGGAAACTAACTGTGCCTCGTGATTTCTAACTGGATTACAGTATCTGCTTCCTGATTTCAGCTACTATAGCTTGTATTCAGTTTTTTTGGCTCATCAAGAACATTGTTCATGGCTTTGTGTGGCGTAACCTGTTGTGCCTTGCATGCTATAAATGTTTAATTATGTCAGAAAATGAAGATTTGGTCTTATGCTGAGCATGTGCTACTGCTGGTGAATGGGATCAGGTTAAGCTTTGTGTTGCTGTTCTTTTGCATAACCTAAAGTAAATAAGGAAAACCAGCTGTTAAATAGTTTAATTCCACTATTTATCCTCCACACAACTAAAAGGGACCTCTCAATGCAGTGCCAAATCAGACAAACCATTTCTAACTTAATATAGGCTTGAGCTGTAGCTGGGCAGAGTTGCACAACAATCTCACCTGTCATTGAGACATTTCTATAAGCATGGGGAGGAGGTGGATGAAAGGAAATGTAAAATATAGGTAGATTGGTATAGGTCTTATCACTGGCTGATAATGGTCTGTATTAATGCCACTGTTGACTGCTGTTCACTTTACATGGTTCAAATGTTATTCTGTTATAGTTTATTAAATATTTTATTACACTATTTGGTTCAGAATATATTTTTCCTGTGTTCCTCCTTTAAAAATTAGGTGCGTCTTAAGGTCAGGTGCGTCTTAGGGAGCAAAAAATACGGTATATTTACCACAGACTTAGCAGCCACCATTTTTCTGATATTAGTTTTTCCTGAGGTCTTAAGAGATGGCAAATGGTGGTTCAATTCCAATCAGCTCCAGAAGCATGTAACCTCTTTCCCTCACTCAGAAAAGGAAGGAAGCATAGGTCTTAACATCAAGCCATGATTAAGTGTCATATTCAACCATAACTCATAGGTCCTATAAACCCAAAATGGCATTTAGTCCCACAGGAAAGTGTTTGTTGCTTTTTCATTCTGTGTAAAAACAACAATTAATTTAACATACTCTTGTCTTTCCAAAGCTGCTTAAATCATAATTCTGCTTCTGTTCAGTGACTGCTGCTTGCAATGCCCTCATCTCTCTCCTCCTTTTCTTTCCTTCTGAAAAATTTCGCTTTTTATCTTGTATGTGCTAAACACATTACAATTCTGGGAGAGGGAGAGATATTCCAGGACAGAGTACTGTTGAGGGACTGATCGTATTGTTCAGTGAAGAAAAATGTCACAATAAGAACATGTTTTTTTTTTTAAAAAATAGCTTCCCAAATATTCTATAAGGCACATTATTTACAAGAATTATACCAGATAATAATTAACAAGCTCTGAGCCTTAAAACATGCTGACACAGGTAGTATTTGAAAAATAGAAATGTGGTCTAGTTTTTTCTGTCCCTAAAGAGACATTAGCTTCCCCACTATAGGAAGCGAGCTGTTAAGTGATCATCAATGATAATGGGCATATGTGAGTGCTGAAATGTCATTCATGCACTTGAATGGAAATGGGAAAAAGCTTCCCATTGTACTATTGCACAAAAATAACATAGAATAACAAATAATTTGATTATGTCTGGTCCAAACAGAGTAAGTCACTGCAGCTAAGACAAATTTAACAATTTGTGCCGGATAAATCTTGTTATCCTGTTTGGTAAAATTTGGAAGTGTAGGCTTTTGACTTAGCCCAAATAAGATCCTATTCAGAAAGCCCTAAAACAGGGGTTTAGCCTTAAAAATTAGAACTCTGTGGTTCTCCAATTGTTTTGAAAGTTAATTTCGAGAATCCCTTGCCATTGGCCACCATGTTTTAGAGTAAAGTTTACAAGGATAAGTTTATATGAAGGCTGAAAATGAGATTATTGCAAATATATCATCTGGATTTCAGATACTGGCTAGAATTTTCCTGGTGTTTATATAGATTTATATGACTTGTGGCAAATTAATGCCAATTAAGGAGGTACCAACGTGCATCTTAGTTGTTTGATCAGATGCTTGACTACACACATGGCCAAAATATGCACTGCAACTTCATCAATTAGCTGTGATTACCTTCCATAAACATTAGTAGGACTCCGTTTGTAGGAAAAAAATTACAAGGACACTATCATCTGAAGGCTGAAAAGCCAGAAAATGTGAGCTTTGTTTATTGAAAAGTTTAACCTCTAAATTTCAGATATTCCCAATTAAGGAGGTACCAACATGCATCTTAGTTGTTTGATCAGATGCTTGACTACACACATGGCCAAAATATGCACTGCAACTTCATCAATTAGCTGTGATTAGCTGCAGCAACTTACACGAACCTTCCATAAACATTAGTAGGACTCCGTTTGTAGGAAAAAAATTACAAGGACATTATCATCTGAAGGCTGAAAAGCCAGAAAATGTGAGCTTTGTTTATTGAAAAGTTTAACCTCTAAATTTCAGATATTCAGAATGTGTGATAAATAAGACAGAAGACAGTGCTTCAATGTGCTCCTACTGGAGGGCATGCCAGGAAGCAATGTTCAAAACACCAGGGGAGAAGTTAATTATTCATATATACTCTCCCTACAGTATCTCAGTTTTTACACAAGCAGAGGTAGTTGATTTGAAAGAGTCCCAGTATGAAATGTCCTGTGATCCTTGTACAGTACACATCTGCCTTTGAAATATAGGAATTCTGTGGTAACTGCTCTGCCAGATTCCAGAATAATTGCCAGTTCCATATAATAATTTCATTCTGTGCTTTGCTCAAGTGATTTAATGCTAGAAATCTCACAGAAGCAGTATGGAGTATACAATTATGCAAGACAAGGATTTTATAGTGAATGGAGCTGATTATTTTAAAGAACTATAGAGTAATCATATGCATGCCTTCAGTAGAAAGTCTTAGATGAACTATACTTACACAGTAGTATTTGTGTGCAAATGGCCTGTGCAAAATTAAATATGTGACAGATAGTTGTCACACAGCCAGCGGCAGGGCGAAAAGAGAAAATGTCAATTGTAACGAAGTTTCAATGTCCAAATAGCATTTAGTGAAAGAAATTAGAGTGTCCACATGTATCCCACAAGGGAAGTGTCTCCTACAATTTAGCAACTGACAGCTGGACATCAAATTCTCAAACGATGGCTCATTGCCAGCAAAGTGCAACTGCCAAATAAATTAAATGACTCTTCAGTTAATAGTAACTCATGGACAACACTCTTTATCTTACCCTACAGATGTACTGGTTCCGCTCCCCTGGAGAGAAGGTTTGTGAGCGCACTATCATGCTGTTCCTGACAAAGGGATGCTGTTGAGACTTCAGGCTGTTTCTGTCCTTGGGTCGTACAGCCACATTTTCTGTCCTGTCTTCTGTATTAGTTTCCTTATCAACCTGTGGAGCATAGTACGCATTGTTTTTAAACTTTAAAACTGACATTTATTTCTTATTTTTCATACTTAACTTTGCTCAAATCAAACAATGAATTCTAATGCACTAGCCTTTTAATGTGGTAAAAACTAACAGGGGTGTTCTCCTCAAGGGCATGGCAGTCTTTTAATTTGGGACACCTATAAATCTTGGTTCTTCCTTCCACATCTTAATGTGGTGAAGCAATCTGAGTGTCTCAAGAACACGGAGAGCAATGCCATCAGAAGGCAAAACTCTGCTGTAAGTCTGGAATATTAAAAGGATCACCCAAGGCAGGATGGTCAAAGCTGAGACACAAGACTAAGATGCATCTACCCTCTTCAGGATTCATGGTCACCTCCGTCAGTGGGAGTGGAGAAACACCTAAAGAGCAGCTCTTGGGCATCAGCAATAGTGGATTAGACTAGAGCATTTTGAGTCAGACAATTACAGTGTAAATACTGAAACAAGGTGAAGTACAATAAATTAAGGGCTATAAAGCAAAGTTTTACTGAATAATACTACCAGACTTCCTAACATTGACAACACAAACATAATTTAATTCTACAAGTAGTGGAGAAGAAGAAGAAAATTTTTATGCAAGTTCCAAGAGTGTCCAAAATTGACATCAGACCAATTTTATGTGCTGATAATTGTATGTAATTGGATTTCAAATGTAAGAAACAAAGAACCACAGATTGTTGCAGAATTTGCCTTAAGAGTCAGAAATAAAGCAGGAAAATAATTTAATTCACAGAATTCTGTAATGCTAACAATGTATTTATTGCAAACACAAGTTTCAGGCAATGGAGCAAATAGACATCATTAGATGGCCGAGACAGAAATCAAATAGATATAGCACTGGAATTAATAGAAGAAACTGTGTTCTGTCAGCCAAACAAGACCAAGAGCAGATTATGGCACTGAACATGTGCATTTTGGGGGGTTTCTGTGTGGGATTGTATCAGATTGGACTTTTCTTCTCTGGTCTTTTTTTTTTTTTTTTTGGTGTTGTTCCAACGCAAACCAAAGAAATGAACATGTGAGTACCAAAACATTTGCAACTGCAACAATTTTCTGAGAGAAGGGTTGCATTTTCTGACAGAATTGCAAGGGTGCCAATATTTTTGGCCATGACTGTATGTATTAGGAACCTATTTAGTTATTATTGGTATAAAATGCAAAGTTGGTTGGTTAAATCACCTCAAAATCATATAGATTTGAAATCAGAATTACTTTTTATTAGGCATGTTATTAGAAGATTTTGAGAATATTGTATACTATGAGAGGAATATTATGATAGTAGCCAATATTGTACACTAAAATACACACATGAATGGTTTAAATGTTTTAAAAATGTATAGATTTTGAAGGGACAACTAAGAAGACACCAAGATGCAAAAAACAAATAATTATAAGTAACTCATGTAACACGATGTTTAACAAGCATGAATTGAATGTAGATATATATATATTGATATATTGAAAACTAATAAAATGTTAATAAAAATAAAATAAAGAAAGGGTGTCAGACAAGAGTGAATTTTATCTCCCTATTTGTCCAATCCATATGCAGAATATATCACACAGAAAGCTGGATTAGATTCAGGTGAAGAAGAAGTACAAATTGATAGAAGAAAATCAATTAATTTGCAATACACCATTTTACTGGCAGAAAATGACTTGAAACCACTCCTGATGAAGAGAAAAAAAGAAAGTGCAAAAGCAAGACTGCTGTTGAATGTTAGGATTAAAAAAATCAGGAATGCAGACAAATGTATTCACGAAGGCTTTCACAGCCGGGATCTAATGGTTGTTGTGGGTTTTTTGGGCTCTTTGAAGGCTGTTCTTTCGGCCACAGAGACTGGCAAAACGTTAGAAAGAACAACCTTCAGAACACGACCAAAGAGCCCGAAAAACCCACAACAACCAATGCAGAAGAACTACATAATTTGAATGATGACAACGAAGAAAGGAAATTGTTAAACATTTTGTATAGTTCAGTTCAATAGTCAAACTAAATGGAGACTGCAACCAAGAAATCAGAAGACTGAGACTTGGGAAAGCACCTATGAAAGAACTAGAAAAGATAATGAAGTATGAAGATGTGCCACTGGAGACAAAAGCCACAATTATCCACGGGATTGCTATGGCAGATATGAAAGCTGGACAGTGAAGAAGGCTAACAGGAAAAAAACCCCTCAATTCCTTCTAAATATGGTACTGGATGATTGCTATATGAATACCATGGACCACCAAAAAGACAAACAAGTGAGTCTTAGATCAAATCAAACCTGAACTCTCTCTAGAAGAAAAAAAAATGATTAAAATTAGACTATTGTACATTATGAGAAAAAATAATGTTGGGAACAACTGAAGGCAGCAGGAGAAGAAGCTCAGCTCTGAGGTGGAGTGGCAGAATAAGGGAAGCCGCAGCCTTGGGTTTGCAAGAGCTGAGCTGGGCTGTTAACAACAGGACATTCTGGAGATCACTCATTCATAGGGGTCCCTGTTGTGCCGACTTGATGAAATATAATAAGAAAACATGTCACTGGTCAAAACATCAATCCTAGCACAAGCCTTAGGAGTATGTTGCTATTAATGGATAAACGCTGCCATACTTCCATTATCGTACTAAAGGTTTATGATGAAACTATAATAATCAAAAAGAACAACTAACTTCAAATTAGACATTTCTGGTTTTCCTAATAGGAAAATCAAATTTCTAGGATTTCTTTTTTTCAGTATTTTTGAACAATTTTTCAAAAATATAATATAAACAAACAAATAAATACCACTACATAAACACTTACAAATAACACAAATAATAAAAAAGAACACACCATACATTTATAACAAATTACCTACAATACTGTGGTCCCCTCCCCTCCCCACCTTGGGACTGTTTCCTTATTTACTTCTTTATTTATATTATTTATTTTTCATACTTTGTGTCACCCCATTTCTTTGAAAAAATGATTCTTCTGGGGTAAATCCTTTCCCCTTCTCAAACATACATGTCAAAAATGAGTTCCATGTTTCTTGACAATCATTAGTATTCAATATTCCTTTTCTCATCTTAGTTTTCACTCATTAATTTATCACTAATAGCCATATTCCACATTTCTTTATAACATTCGTCCATATTAAGTTGATTATTATTTTTCCACCTATTTGCAAGACTTAACCTTGCTGCAGATACCATAATAATAATCAATTATTTTTCTTCCCACTTTAATTGATTGCAATTAACCATATTCAACAAAGATATCTTTGGATACATTTGTATATCCCTACCCAGTATTTCAGTTATCTCATTAAAAACCATTAACCATTCCTTCTTCCTCATTTCATGTGAAATGAAGTGAAATGAAATGCTGAATTTTTTTTCTAGGTAAATAAAAATCCCACTCTATATTTAAAATGATTCTACCTAATTATTCACTTTGCTGGCTAAAACCTATTCTAGATCTTCAAAGAATACTCCTGGTCCTGATGAAAGAAGGACTGCAGGAAACATTTATTAGCTATATAGAAACGCAGGAACTTTAGAAACTGCCACCTACAGAGGCATCCCACTGCCCCCTCCAGCTCAGTATTCTGCAGAGACTGGCAGTCCCTCTCCAGATATCAAGCAGGTGTTCTTCCCAGCCTACTTGGAGACTGAACTTGGAACCATTTAAATCCAAGGCATATGCTTTACCACTGAACAGCAATCCTGTTCACAAACAACAATAATGCCCCCCCCCTATAATTTACAGACAAAACTAATTAGAAATGGCTGCTTAAACTTTAACACTTCTCTGTTCTATGGAAAAGTTCTCTATTTTTCTTTTATTTATCTTTCTATTCACCATATAGAATTGTTAAAATAGAACACATTCAACCCATAAATGACAAAGGTACAGCAAACAGATTCTGGAAAATGAACTCTTTCCAAGACGTCAGTAACAGTTTGTGTATCAAAAAATCTTAATCTGTTTCTGTTAATGCTGCAACATAATGTAAATACTGAATGCACTTCATGTATTTAAAATAGTGCTTAAACTTTAAATCATTCAGGTGGCAAACTGAAAAATGTTTCTGCCTTTAAGCTAAAATGCCTCACCGCTTTAAGGTCAGAAACACCTCCAGGATGCCAGAACATTGTCATAGTGCTATAGGGAAGCATAACCTAAAATACTCACCAGTGTGGATGATACTGTCTGCTCATTGTGACACACATCTGTCCTATTGCTGTCTTCCCCATCTTTGACTTCATCTGTCTCTACTAGATTTAAGCAGAGTTCATTGCCATCTGCGCGTCCACTTTCCTGCGCTCTTTCAAAATTGTCGTCCTCTTCTGCTACAATATCACTGGATGCCGGTGCTTCTGTCAGAGTTCCTAACCTATGAGAACAAAGCAACCCAAGTTTACTTTATCTGACAAAGCCTGCAGAGAGGAAACAGTGGCATGCTGTGGATATAAAACCTATATAAAAGAAATATTATCATCAGCACAGGATCTTGGCTACAAGCAGATCAGAATTTCACTTAAATGCTTTCACAATCTAACATGTAGAATGCTTTCTGTGAATAATTTGTTCCCAGGGGGAAAAAGTCTCTTAGAAATTGCTTCTCCCCACAGAGAGTACAGCTTATCTGACATTGATATCTGGCCGAGCACCTCCTTCTGATCAGGTCTTCCTGTCCTGTAAGATCGCCTCAGGCATGGCGGTTGAGAGTTCTGACCCCAAGAGAGGCCCGAAAAATGACCACCAGAAATCAGGCCTTCTTGGCAGTGGATCCACAATTATAAAACAGTCTCCTGCCTGAAATTCACCTGGGCCCTTCATTGGGAACCTTTAAAAAACTATTAAAACCCTGGTTATTTAGACAGGCCTTCTCGGATCTAAAAACACCTTGATATTAAGATACTGTATTAGGAATATCTTAACATCTAACCTATCACCATGCCTCTCACTTTATTTTATTTATTATATTTTACTGTGTATTTTTCTTGCAATTTGTCTTGCACCTTTTATATTTTAATGGATGTTGTTGACCCTGTCATTATGTTATTGTTGTTTAATTGTTGTAAACCACCCAGAGTGGCCTTGGCTGCCAGATGTGTGGTATAAAATCAACCAACCAACCAACCAACCAACCAACCAACCAACCAACCAACCAATCAATCAAGCAAGCAAGCAAGCAATGATTCCACCAATAAGAGATACAAGATTCTACATTTTGCACTCCAGATTATTAGCAAATGAAGGCTAATTCATTTTATGCTTTCAGTAGATAAAGATGAAACATGTTTTGCCTTATCACCACCTGCATTAAGAATTTTTTTTACATATATCTTAATACAAAGCAATTAATTCATAATAGACCAGATATCTAATGGAACATCAAATGTATTGTGGAAAAGACAAGACATCCAAAGAACTGCACATGTTAAGCATATGGTGGGAAATAGATAGTCAGGGACAGGGATATTGCGTGTAGATTCTGCTTATGGACTTCCTAGAGACACTTGGTTGGCCACTTTAAAGGAAAAAGATGCTGGACTAGATGGACCTTTGGTCTGAGCCAGATTCTTATGCATTAGAAAAGAAGCACAAGGATTCCAGCTGGAGTGCCTATGCATATTCTGTATGCTTCCTCATTGCTGACTTAGTCCAAATGCACAGGCAGCATCTGCAAAGGCCAGAGTTTGGAAATAACATTTTTGTGTGTGTGTGGTGGTGAGGGGAGTACTGCTTTTCCAAACTCCCAGATTCCCCTAACTAGCAAGGCCAGGTCTATGGTGACCTGGGGATTCTCAGAGCTGTAATCCAAAAAAGCAATGTTTCCAAACTCAGGGCCAGGGCTGGCAGGAACAGCTTAGCTCAAACTCACCATGCCATCTTAAACTGCTTGAAGACTAACAACTGAGGAGGGGCTGAGTGTGAAGATGTGCATGAGATATATTCATTACTCTCCTTGCTGCAACTACACCAAAGAAACAAATAGTAATTTCCTTTCCAAAAGGCAACTCTTTTCTTCAGTAATAGGAAACTGCTGTTGGGAGAACATTAAGTAAAGCATGTGTGATTATTCTCCAATGTGCCCAAAGGGATAAGAAACTCCTTTTGTTTGGACAAGTAGCAGATGGCCAGAAGCAGCTTTTTTCATTGATCTGCTTTGTTTTATGCTCTATAGTTTTGAACAATGTTTTCAAAAATTAAATTATAATAAAAGCAATAGCAAGACACAGCTGACCAGTCTTCCTCAGCATTCTGTGGATCCTGTATGTCCTTTCCTTCCTCTTCCCCCTCCTCTGCAAGCTCTTGTTCTACTGCTTCCAGTTCAGCCGATGTCCTTTCCAGTAAAGCTGACACAGCATCCTACGCAAAACATTGAAAGCAGAGCTCCATATTACAATATAGGGGTCATACTGTTCATAAAATATGTTTCCATCAATAGTTGCGGATATCATCAAAGGCTAGGTGAACAAAGACTACACTCAATAGTCCTTTATATTGAGCCAACTTTTCTGATTAAATTCAATGAGGTTGAAAATACCTAAAGGAGCACATTTATATAAACTGGGCAACACCATGAAATATTCACGGCTGACTGAAATCTTATAGTTGCTGAAGTGGCATACAGTAGGGGCACCTACATCTGCTGGCTGACCATTATCTGAAATGAAGGGCAGCCCCTTCACCATCTCCTCTGTCTGCCTCTTTAGGCCAGGGAACATGGGGCATCCTCCTGAAAGCTGTCTCAGGGAATGCAACAGGGGAAGGTTACCAGCAGGTCAAGCCCTCCTCAGCATCTCCCTTCTTGTCTTCTGCTCATTTGTTATTTGCATTCAGAAGGCAGTGTTCACTACTATCTGTGGTTTCCAGCAAACATGGGGAGGGGGGAGCTTGAAACCTCCCTCCCTATGGATATGGGGGTGTCTTTGATTTTACACTCTCACTTTGAGAGTTCATGTATACTTTGTGAAACTCACACCTCATTTCAAAACTTCAAAAAGAGACCTCCACTAGGTTACCTGAAGCAAACTTTACAACAAAGTGTCACGTGGTTTTAAAAAATTTACACAATTAGCAGACTTACAGACTGCAGCCCAATAAAGGCAAGATTTCAATTAATGTATTGATAGTTACAGCAATACAGTGGTGCCCCACTTGACGACGATAATCTGTTCCAGGAAAATCATTGTTAAATGAAATCGTCATCAAGCGGGGAAAAAACCCCATTGGAATGCATTGAAAACCGGTTAATGCGTTCCAGTGGGGAAATACCTCATCGTCCAGCGAAGATCGCCCATAGAGAACCGACAATCAGCTGTTTGAAATTGCTGTCTTCCGAAGCAGGGGTCCGGAAAACAGCCATTTTGCAAAGGGAAGCCAGCTATTTTGCAAAGGAAAGCCATTTTGTGGAGCAGGAAAAAACATCGTTTTGCGAACAAATGGTTCGCAAAGCAGGGTCCTAATCAACGTCAAGCGAAAAAACCCCATAGGAACCATTGTTTTGCAATTGCAATAGCGATCGCAAAAAACTCATCATTAAGCGATTTTATCATCAAGCGGGGGTCATCGTCAAGTGGGGCACCACTGTACTTTCTACTAATACCTAGTAGATATCAGGTTAAGACCTCTACTATATGACAGCTATGACACATGGTGAAGACCAAGGCTGACTTATCTCTCCTATCTAGGCAACATCTTAATTTCAATTCCTTTGAACACTAGCACATGGGTATGATGTTCTTAAGGGTACATGTGTATGAAGTCTGATGCATAAAGGCCAAGAGCTTACAACATATATTCCAGCTATAACAGAAGACTCAACTATGAGATTAGACCTATGTATGTATGACACTGGGAACATTAGATTCACATGAATGTTGCAGGAAGGACAGCTACGCCAAGTGAGGAGGATATGTTCTCACTCTGTATCATGCACAGGGAAAAAGACAAAAGCAAAGATTGTTATCAGCTCTAACTCACTAGTCATATTCAATATTTTGAAATAGGTGCCCCAAAGCAGAATGTGAGTGGAGAGAACTGTATGCCTGAATGTTCTTCAATCAGAAGCAGCAGCAGAAGAAGAAGAAGCAGAAGGAAGAGGAGGAGGAGGACAAGGAGAAGGCCAAGGAGGAGACCTCTCCTGCTTGAAGAAAGCCTGCACTTTAGGAACTGGAGTTATAACATATCCCTAACATCATTAGATAGCTATTCGCACACAGAAAATGTTCAATGTGGTCATTTTCAAATTGTACATCAGTCAGCTTTGACAAACAGTGGGGGTTTAGTAAACAGGCAATACAATGACTTCACTAGTACCAGTACTATTATCATCTTCAAAAGCACACAAACATTGCTCACCAAGTCCAAAGAGCCAGGTGTCTGACTGTCTGCTACAAAAACAAGCCCCTCCTTTTGCTCCTTTTGCTTCTTTCTATCAGGAATCTTCTTGTAAGCCAGTAAGTTGTACCACGAAGTAGACATCTCGTCTGAAAATGGCAAGTCGGCCAGACTTATCTGAGTTCCAGCCTGCAGAGAAATATGAAAGGCTACTTTATTTCATCAGAAATTGCTTTAGGTACTCACAAAAATTAAACAACTACAGATGAACAACTTTTCAGTCAAAGTACAAGAGAAGCTGTACTCAAAGCTGGTATTCAGATGGAAGTGAAACAAAGTCTATGGTCAAACTCATACAGTAACTAGGCCAGCAAGCCTTTTCATGTGATAGAGAAGCATATCTGTGTCTGTTGACTCTATAATGTTTTGAGTGAACACGCCATGTTGAGGCACACAGTTTGCACATTTTTTTTGCCTCTCCAAAAGGTTATGTACAGAAGTATATGGGCAATTGCACCTGTTTTTTTTTACATGTGTAGATTCCTTTGTGTGGCATTTGTTATGTATGGTGGAGAAGAAGAGCCCACAAAAGAGATGATAAATCCAGTGAGTGTCTATCTGGATCAATTGGTGCAAGACAGATTTTAAGGTACCTAAGCTTGTAAGAGAGAAAGAGCAAAGGAATTCAAGACACAAAGTGGCAGGACAGAAAGCCTAAAAGGTAAGAGAGAGAGAAACAAAAGAGTAAGCAGAAATTTACAGTCCATGTGTTCTGGTTTAACTGTTTGACAGCAGATTTTAGTTGCAACAGATTCTTAAGTATAAAGACATGATTTAATGAGTATGTTTTCAAAGAATGAGTAATCTGGAAACATTAAAGAACAGAGAAAGACAATACAGGCCTATAAGGAAAAAAATGTGGTTTGTATTTTATACATCTAATCACGTGTAATAGATCCATGCAAGAGAGAGTACTGGCTAAGTTGAGGCCTCAGGCAAAATACAGTTGGCCTCAGTCCATCTTCTTCATGAGGAAGAAAGTGGTTTTATATGCAAGAAGAGAAAATTCAAGCTCATATCTGGAGGCTTTGAGAACCCTATTGTGCAACATGCCTCAGGCATCATCACTTTACACTCTGTCTGTGTCCAAGATTATTAATCAATATGTTTCTGTTACACTGTCATCAGCTAGAAAGCCAGTGGAGCAACAGCAGTTAGATATAGAAATATATATTAGAAAATGTAAAAGGAAAATAATTCAGCCAGGCTTTTGCCACAACATTGTCACATAGGAGAAATGTGGCAAATTTGCTCAACCCTGCGTCTGATCCATGAGCACAGGAGTTCCCAGCATGGCCTCAGGAAGACGTCTGACTGATGTTTCAGAGAAACAACTTTTCTCACAGTAGGCAGCACTGAACTTTATGGAATGGCTTGGCATTAAGTAACTTTCTATATTCCTTTCAGTGTTGAATGGAAGTAAGTAAGTAGCTTTCCAGTTCAAAGAAATGATATGGCTGCATATCATTTCTGTGTCACTATCCAAAACATTTCACCACAACAAATACTAACATAAAAGGCATCCCAGGATGCTACCTGATCACAAAAAACTGTATTTAAGAGCATTTTTCCTAAGTAGTATTCTTCTACAATGTAGAACATACACCAAAAAACAAATTTGTCACAAAGCATGTGACACAAGGGCTTTGTGGTATGCAAAAAGTATGCAAATTACTTTATTATGTACATCTAAAATATGCACATTAACTGCAGCCCTCAGGCTCAATGAAACCCTTAGTGTTGAACAAATTGTCTACCTCTGTAATACTGTGAACAAAAGATGGTCTAAACTTCACACTCATCCCATTTCATATATGAATATATTTCATTATCTGCAGGTTGCTAATGCATGATCCAGAAGCTGCCCATCAGCATGACAAGGAAAAACAACAGAACATCAAACATAGTTAATAATGAAGAACACTTACTAGACATTCTTCCCGATACGTTTTACCGACAGTGCAGGCATCTACTCTCAAAGTTTTCTGACGCAAAGCTGTCTGGGAAATGGTGACTCTGAACATCTCACTAAATAAAAGAGTCTCAGCGGCAAAATAGACTTTTGTGCGGAACAGGCAGCTGATGTCAACTGAGGATGGAAGAACGGCAACTCTAAAATACCTAGAAGGGGGAAAAGAAAACATTTTTTAAAATGATTTCAATTTGCACCACAAAATACCTATTCATATAGCATTACATAATGGCACACCCATAGAATAAACTACTTGTATGACATCTGGAGAGTGAAGTCAAGTGGGCTTTAGAAACCTTGGCTAACAACAAGGCCAGTGGAGGTGATGGCATTCCAGTTGAACTATTTAAAATCTTAAAAATTGACGCTGTTAAGGTGCTACACTCAATATGCCAGGAAGTTTGGAAAACTCAACAGTGGCCAGAGGA